TTTTGCAGTAACATTTTTAAGGTGAAAAATCAGTTTAAAGATAACATATATTATTTTAAAAGTCTTATTGAAAAAAATATTGTAATAATAATAATTTCTTTATGTGCATTGAATTTTTTCAGTACTGTCATCGTGATTCAAGCTATTGGAGAGAATACAATTTAAACATAGTACTTGACCCCCTATGGCAATTAGCTATCTAATAAATGTGATTTAAACATAGATAGTGCATGACCCCTCTATGGCAATAAACATAGTACTTGGCCCCATATGGCAATAAGCCGTACATTAATCTCATTTTTCCTAATCAAACTCCAAACTAGGTTCTTTTTATGTGGATCAGCCATGCTCACCAAAAGTACCAAAGAGAACCCCATTCATGTGCAGCATAAAATCTCAATCTCTTTTATTGAGATGTCATCTCTAGCTTTGCTCATACATAACCACCATTATGTTTTTTAAACATAAATATTATATTTTACTCTTTGTAAGCATGGGCTAAAATTCTTCGAATAAATAATTTCAAATGATCTTTTATGAAAACTAATTTTAAAAAGTTATTCATATGATAGGCTAGTCAAAATATATCTTGCACCCTTAGATACATATAAAAGTTGCAACTGTTTGTTCAGCATTTTTTCAGAATATGTTCTATTCATCTGCAAAATCTTTGCATTTTTTAAAGAAGAGGAAATATTGTTGTCTTTGCAAAGATGCAAAGACTTTAGGTTGTTATTTATGTTTTTAATTTTTCTTTACTTTTACTAGCTGTTGGTAATTCTACTAAAAATCTAGGCAGACCTACTCAAAAAAAAGTTATAAATGATGACATATTTGGAGATGATGATCTTCCAGGTACATTTTTATTTTATGTTTATCGCTGTTTAGAAATGCAACAGCTATTAATTATGTTTTTTAACTGTTAAATTTTAACTTTTTTATCCATTTATTCTTGATCAGAAAAACTGGTTATTGTTACAATAGGGCATTATTTTGTAAAAAGTAGCATAAACTTTTATAAAATGTCATATTTAAATAGGAAAATGGTATTATGCAAAAAAATGTATTTATATTCATTAGAATTGAGTGATAAAGAAGTACTGAGCAAACCAGTTAAAAAACAAAGTTCTTCAGAAGATATCATTCCTTCTGAAAAAGCAACAAAAGCTCTAGATAATTTACTAAATGCTGGCAAAGTTTCATTGCCAAAAAAGAATGCTCCAATGACTATGCTTGAACAAATAATGTCAGGGACCAAAAAAAAAGAAAACACTGGTAAGTTGTTGTAATAACTCTTATTATTACTTATATAGTATATTAATAAAACATCATGTTTGGTATCATTCTGTTTATTGTTATTAAAAGGGATATTTTGGCTCATATAGCAAGTGTTTACCTTTACCAACTTAATTAACTGTAAATAAGTCATTATAAAAAAATTATTTTCGCTATTTAATGTGTGTTAATATCAAAATGCCCAACATAAGTTTAATTTTCTAGATGTTTATATTTCATTTCACTAATCATTTCCTTCATCAGTTTTCCATGCATCATTAGAATGCAATCAAAATTTTTCTTATTAAACCAAATTCGTTCATTTCACTAAGTATAGCTATCAGTGTTTTAAAAGTTTTTAGGTAGAGCATATAAAAATAAAATAGAATAATAGAGAATATGAAATGTTTTAAACATAACATTCAAAATAAAATTGATTAATATTTTCCTTGAAAACAGACATTCATACAAACAACATCTGGATATTGCTAACATTTATATTATGTTTACAATCATTTTTTTATAGGGTTTCTAATGGTTAATTCAGTTTAAGTTTGGCTCATGTAGCACTTGCTATATGAACCTAAATATTACTTTTATAATAAATAACAGTATGGTACCAAATAAGGCGTTTTACTAATTATATATATATATATATATATATATATATATATATATATATATATATATATATATATATATATATATATATATATATATTTAAATAATGACATAAAATTTTAAATAATAAGTATTTTTTTATATTTTTTTTTGGTAGGAGGTGAGAGTTATGTCACTGTATATAAGATACAAACTATAATAACTATAAACTTCTATAAAAAATCCCAGAGTTTTTTCCTATTTTTGTTGGACATATCATTTTGTCTCCTTTCCTCGCTCTTAGTGTCTAAGTAACCACAAATCATCGTTTTTCAAAGGATTGAAGCTTGTTAGCAGTGGTCTTACTAATTTGATGAATAACAACATTTTACTGTTTTTTGCACATAGTATGTAGAATGTGGACCAAAAAAATATGATATATATGAAAGCTAAAAACAAAAGTACATAAAAATTAAGAATTAAAACTCTAATTTTATGTATTTTTTATTTTTTTATTAAAAATGTTGATATTAGTTGTTAGCATTAACTATATGTTATAAGCATTAACAGTATGTCATAAGCATTATAAGCTTATAAGTCTTTATTACATTTAACTAAGATCAAAGTTTCAAGCAACGAATCAGACAATCAGACAAGCAACGAATCAGACAAGCTCTAGGAGGGCACATTATCCAACCACTCTGACAAAAGATATGCTTGGCAGGAACTAGCATTGCAGGGACACAGAAATACTTGTCAAATATAGATTTATAATTTTTGAATATTTCTTATTTGAATTCAGTTTTTAACGAAAAATCCTTTTGATTAAATTCTAGTAATTAATTCATTCAAGTTTTTCAAAACTATCTTGTTTGTAAAGCATTTTTTTTTTCTATTATTTCCAAAAAAGCCTATTTTTTTTTGGTAAAGGCCTTTTGAATTTGAGCTGTAACAATCTTTTGGATAGTTATCAAAGTAGTTTCTAGTGTTGTTCTTGAGCAAATCTTTTTGATAGTTCTTTGGTAGTTTGGTAACCAAACTATCAAAGAAGGATAATTAAACTATTGCTCATTGGTTGGATTTTATAAATAAAATTATTTTTAAAAAATCTATTACATATACATTATTAAAAACTTTTTAAAACAGATTTAGATAAGTTGAATAAAAACAGTATAAATTAATTAAAAAAATACTTTATAGCAAATTATAATTGAAATATAATAAAAACTATTTTAATTTAAAAAACCTTTAAAATTCAGTTTTTGTTTTTAAGAAAATATCATAAGAAAACATTTAAATCTTTTTATAAAATTTAAAATGTTTTAACTAATAAAAAACACCAAAACATATCATGTGACTTAATATATAGATGTAATAAATTCCCATTAACCAATAATGTCATTGATTAAAAAATCAAAATCAACTGTAATAAATTTTTTTAAATGCAAACACAAAAGAAAGAATTATGAATTCCTAAAGATAAGGTAGAAAGCTGGGGCCAAAACTGTCTTAACAGTAAGATATCTAAAGCCAAGGCCAAAAGTTTTAAAACCAAGGTCAAGGCTTTAATTTTTGGCCTTAAGACCAGGACAAGGTGAAGGACTAATAAATCTGGTACTATTGGTTATAACCATTAAAAATCAGTAGTAGAATATCAAAATTCATATTGATGATCAGAAATTGAATTATTAGGTTCATAATGAGAGATTAAGTGTTTTTTAATTAAAGACTCGAAAATCTTGTTTATGATATTAAAAAGATTAGTGGGATGGTAGTTAATAGTTAGACAATAGATAAAACTTTTTTGGACCTTGTCTAGAAAAAAAAGAGCATCATTAGAAGAGCTTGCCAAATATGACAACAGTTTTCCTTAGAGGGATGGATAAGAGATTTGTAGAGGTAGAGTATCAGGAGTAAGAAAATAGCGAGCTCAATAAAGAGAAGAAACTCTAGATGATTCTAACTTTGCAGTTAATTGAATATATAGTTTCCATAAAAGATCAGTAGTGAATGATAGTCTAAGAGGATGTAAAACAGAGGACTCAGTGAGAGAGTTGCTATTCATCAATATAGGAATGTCGATAATGTTGCTATTTCATCGTCTGGGGTTACTTGGACCGAATTTAAGATATGTTTGATATTTTGGGTTTTCTCTAATATCTATGTTAATGTAAAAAAACTTGTTATTGCTAATTTATAGGCTAAGGTATTAGTAATGTTGATTGTAGAGAAAAAAATATTTATGAGGACTTGGTTTTTTTTTTTTTGGGAGGTTAAGGTATAGTAATAAAATTACGTAGTATAAAATTATATAGTATAAAATTACATAGGATAAAAAGTATGTTTTCTTTTAAGTTTTCCTGCAAATCACTTGGATAACTGATGATGTCTTCTAATTAAGGCTTTTACCCATTCAACTCCTGGAAGATTTTCATTGAAACATTAAAAATCACCCCCAATCAGTCTTGGTAGGATTTTACGATAATTTGAAGGTCAAATGTGGTCAGTGAGTAGCTAAAAAATGAATCTTTATTCAAGTGATCACAGAATGAGAACTCTTTTTTAGAAATGAAGACAACTGGATGCCCTCTTTGTGATAGTAAGGCGTTGTCTTCAAAAAGCTCTTCTAATGCTGGAACGGCTAATTCTAAATTGTTCTTCAGCAAATCATTAACTCCTAGCTCAACGTTCAATATTAATACAGGCTTGTTTTATGTTTTGATCTGTATAGTCAATGTAAGCTCTAGATCCCAATTTTCTTCTATATATGCAAACCATTTTGGTAGAACCAGCTATGATAGGATGTAGTATACACAAAATAATAATAGCTTTAACCAACCATCAAAATTATTTAAGTATGCATTTTATAACCTAACAGATATTAAAAACATGGTTAATACAACTGATATATCAACTTTTTTCAAATATATTATTACACTTGGGGTTTAATGTTAATGGAAATAAATTTATCATTTTCAAGCATAAGCTGCTACAATGATATTTGGGTTCTTAATCGATGTTCACATCGATGATCACAGGATAATTTTGCACTTCAAACATAAATACAAAATTTTTTATAAAAATTTTTAAAAATAAAATTGCTACATTTTGCAGCAACTGATACTACTTATAAGAAATGTTGTCAAATAGTTTTTATCTTTTTTGGTTATATCTGAACAGACCAAAGTTTTGCGGGAAATATTTACCATTATTATACTAATTTATCGATATTAGTAAAATGTTTTTAAACAATTAAAAGTAACACAACATTTTGTTAAACTGATGTATTTTTTTTTTTTTCGTTATTGTTGAAGAGTTTCAAACAAAGTACAATATAGGTCTTTGGCAACCATAAAACTTTTGTAAATGTTCACTTTATTTTTGTTCTAAGAATCTGAAGAAATATTGTTTGGCAACTACAGTCCTTCTATTGGAAACCAAGGTGAGCGTAACTCAACCTCAGGTAATGCCCGCTCTGTTCGTTTTGCATCAGATCTTGGACTAGATGATGAAGAGTTGTTTAGCTCAAGTCCTAAATTGTTGTCTAATAAAAAGAAGCCATCAAATTTGAAATCATCATCAATAGATCTAAATTCTTCACTTGATAGTTCTATAAATAATGGATTGACTAGATCTACTAAAGCAAAAGAACCGAATGTTGTAAGTAAGAAAGAAGATACCCAAAAAACTTGTAAGTTCTAGTTATTTGTAAATAACCTTCATTTGATATGAATTGCTGTTAATAACATTATTGCCTAACAAAGTCTTGTATCTCTTAAAGTGAAATTTATTTACATGTATTTAATTAAATATAATAGTTAACAATAATCATAATAACAACAATAATCATCATAATGATAAATAACTTTATCAACAACTGCTAACATTAAGTGACATAAAATAGGGTGTAAAACTATTGGTAAACATTTTTATTAGTTATAAAATAATTAATAATTAATAAAATTAAATAGTTGAAGACTTGTAAAATAAGTTGTGGTTATTCTATATACCTTTTATTTTAGACATTTATTTTTACTAAAAACTACTCTATCCAAAAATTTATTATTAATAATATAAAGTAGTAGTAAAAGACTCAAATTTTTCATGATAAAAAAAATTTACTAGTAAGTTTTCTGACATAATTTTTTTTGTAAACACTTAACATTAAAAAGTATGATCAAACCTTAACACTTATTTTAATTTTTATCACAGTTTATAATTGTTAAAACTACATTTAAAAAGTGTTTAAAAAATGTTTAAAATGCAAACCACTAACTTTTTTTACAGTATTTAACAAGTTTTTGTTTAAAACTAAGTTTTTCTTAAGTTGCATAGAGTTAAATTTTATACCCATGTTGATTAATCAATAGAGACTATAAACTTTAGTATTATGCAATCACAATCAGTAGAGAAATTCAACTGTAGACAATAAAACTTTAATATACATAATATACCCTTTAATATACCCTTTTTGATTAAAATGCCTCTCCCCCTCTTTGATTGTAATGCCTTTCCTCCATCTTTAATTGTGATGCCTCTCCCCCCTCTTAGGGGAGGGAAATTTATGGGGAAAAAAAATGAATTTAAAATTATTGATTTCTTAAACTGTTAATTATCTTTAAGACAATGCTTTAAGAGCCTTGCGACTGCTGTAGATATCTTACTGTATCTGGCATAGATATTATGGGGGTAATTTTAAAGTAGTTGTTATGTAATCATAACAAATGCACCTGACTGTCGACCTTAAATTTAATACAATAAGTCTCCCATTTATAATTAAATGTAAAAAAAAAAAAAAATTGCATTGAAGAACTATAATAACTACATTTGTGTGTGTGTGTGTGTGTGTGTGTGTGTGTGTGTGTGTGTATGTGTGTGTGTGTGTGTGTATTTTAAAAAAATGATTAAACTGTTCAAAGCCATTGCAGTTATTATACTTATTTCTTCAAACATGTACATAATGTGCTGTTATATATGCACTGTTATGGGCAATATGAAGTAAAATTTTGAATCAAAAATAAGGCATTCCTTACATATGATGATAAAAAAGTAGTTAAAATACTACTTCAAAACATTCTTAAAGACGTTTTTTATAAATACATAGCAACATTAGATCAAAAAACAGTGTAAGTGTATTAGTAAATATTTTATTAATTTTATTAAACAATAGTACTAACTTGTCACCAATAAAAATAGAATTGGAGTTTACTGGAACATAATTAATTACTGCAACATTATTAAGTACAACTGTAAAAAATCAACAAAAATCGTTGAAGTTTATTGATTAAAAATAATTTACATTTTTTTTTTAAAGTTATATTTAATACGTATTTAAAACTATGCTTTCTGGAATTTATTTTAGAAAAAATAATTATCACCAAAAATATGCATTGGACATATTTTAGGTTATTTGCAATTAAGAAAATGGCTTTACCTACAAACAATGTCTGATAAATATAATTTATCAATAAGTGGTGTTAGAAAGATGTATATAAAAAATTAAATAATTGGTTTTGTTGAAACTCAGAAAAACCTTATTACTCCCTTAAAACTTCACTGAAAACTGATATGTTAATTGCGCTGAAGCAAAGTAAAATTCAACAATGATCATAAGACAAGTTGTTAAAACTCTTAAATTAAATGTTTCTAGTTAAACAGTACAAGAAAGTAAACTCCTAATTAGTGTATAAACAGAAAAAAGCATTCAAACAAGCTTAAATTCAATCATGAGAGATGCTTTGTTTCTAATAGTGTGGAAAGGCTGGTGTCTATTGAAGGTATAGTGACACAGTAGGTATATAGACACAGCAATTAATTCTAAAGAAATAAAGTTACATCAAAAGCTTATCAAGACATTTAGAAGCAGTTATAAAATTAAGACGAGGCGCAATAAAGTATTAAAATGAAAATCAGACATGATATACTTGAATTATTAATAATAATTATTTACTTACTCTCCCTTCCCCCCCCCCCAACCTGTCATTATGGGGTTCAAATCTCCAATCTGTCATTAGGGTGTTAAAATCTTAAAAACCTTCCTTTACTAGGTGTATTACTTAAAAAAAATTCTTATATTTTGCTAGCCTCCATGCTTACAAACTATGCATAAAAATCTATGCAACTTGGAGTAAAAATATTGTTTGTTCAGTCATGGAAGTAAATATAGTTCAAACACTAAATTATTTAATGACAGTAACATACATAGGAAGATCAAAGTTTATGACTGTCTCAGAAATTAGGCCTCTATGTTGATGATGTTTCTTTGGAGAAATAGTTTAACTTTGACAAGCAACTTTCGCATACTTTATTTGTGTTATCAATGTCTAATGCAAAATCATTCCAAATATCACAGTGTTTTTTGAAACACTCAAGACAATTACCAGTTAATGCCAATTTTAACTTTGTTATATCGTCAAGAGAACCAAGTCTTGGCCCAGTGATCTACAATAAAATTGCACACCTCTATTATTGATTCTTTTTTTGTCTGAGTCAAAAGCATAAATTTCAAGCAATAGATAGATCTTGAATTCCAACGTACACCTGAAATAGATTTAGATAAATGAATCATGGGTAAATTCATTGTGTCTCGATAAGACTTGTATCCTTTACATAACAAATCCAGTTCTGTATAATCTTTCCTGATGTATTTTTTACTTTTAATAATTGTCCCGTTAGGCTACTATTTTTCAATTAAGTCATTGTAGTTACTAATCAACTCATTAATGAACCAGTAATTGATATTAGGCGATGTTGATCAGGAAGCAAACTTTCATAAAATTTATAAAATGCTTAAGAATCAGGTTGAGAACGTAGTCTGTAGATATAGCCAAGGATGATTGACTTGTTTTTGGATTAAATCAAACACCAGATCAATATTAGTAATAATAATTAGTTTTAAAGTTAGTATTAAAAGTTATGCTTTTAATTTGGGAAACTAATTTTACATCGGTATAAGTGAAACACCTTTCAAAATTAGTTGCGCTAATCACATAAAATCATTTAATATTATCAGGTATAAAAATGACACTGAGTTATCAAAGGAGTTTTGGAAATTAAAGGTAGCTAATTTGAATCCTATAGTTAAATGGAAAATAATTAAACAGTCCAATGCTTATAACCCTATAAAATAAATCTTGTAATTTATGCTTAAATGAGAAATATGAAATTCTATTCTCTAGAAATCCAAACTTATTAAATAAAAGGAGTGAAATAATATCTAAGTGCAGGCATAGAAACAAATTTTCTTCTTGCTAATTTCGATACTGGAGATTAATCTAGTTTCTATGTTACTTTTTGTTTTGTTTTGACGTCAGAACCCATTCTATTGTTGTTTTTGTATTTCTTATTTTTAACGGTTTTTCTTGAAAAGTATATATAGCTGATGATTGCCAAAATGGCATGAAACTTTAAGTTACATCATAAAGTTGTATTTTTTCATTTAGTTAAATATATACATATATATATATATATATATATATATATATATATATATATATATATATATATATATATATATATATACACAGGCCTCAGCGGGAACAAATGAGCACGAGAGCTGAGAAAAGCTCTTCTAAAACGAATTTGGGGAGCTGTGCAAGCTGCTCCTCATTTAAATTAGCACTCTTTTGTAATTTTAATTATACCTTCATGAGAAAAATTATACTTTTGCGAGAGCCGTAAATTGCTCCTGTAAACTGTTTTAGGGCGAGAGCAAGAGCTAAAGCTCTCCCGCCGAGGCCTGTATATATATATATATATATATATATATATATATATATATATATATATATATATATATATATATATATATATATATATATATATATATATATATATATATATGTATATGTATGTATGTATGCATATTACTATTAGCGAAATCTACAGATAACTGGTTAGAATTAGGAGATGATTTGACTGATCAGTTTATAGATTCAAATGATTTTTTACCATCAGCAAAAGAAAAACGCCTTCAAAGAAAAAATAGTTGTAAGCTTTTGAACTGTCAAAGATTTTTCTTTAATTAAAAAAAATCATAAAATTTATTTTCAAGTTTTTTTCTTTTTTTTCTTTTTTATGTAGCCAAGTCTTTAGACAATAGACTGGAGTTTGGAGATCAACTAACTAATCAGTTAGGTGGATTTGATGATTTGTCAACTCGAACCAAAAAAGAAAAGTCTTTAAACAAACAAACTAGTAGTGGTATGTATCAATAAGATTGTCACCAAAATGTTAAAATTTCAATTTTTATCTAAAATAGTTTTAAAAATGTTAATCATATTGTCTAGGAAAAGATATTTTTTTCAAACAATGTTCATAAAAGCTTTTTCATTGTCATTTTGCAGACTTCATTGACATCAATCCATAGACCAAAATAATTTTATTTATTTTGTGTATGTGTTACAGTGTGTTTTTGTGTGTGTGTGTTGCAGTGTTTAAGCATTGTAATATAATAAAAACAAATATGCATTTTTTTTATTGCTAATGTGATAATAAAATTGTATTTACATTTATTTTTAGAGACAACTAAAAATAACGAGTTTGATAGGTAAAAGTTTAGTTTGAAAATTTTTTTTTAAGTATTAGCTCAAAGTCAAGAAAATTTTTAATTTGTTTTAGTTCTTTTAATTTTTATATATTTTATATATTTCTTTTTTGCTTTAGTTCTTTTAATTTATTTAGTTCTTATTTTGATTCATCCAATCAAAAATTAGAAGATTTTGAAGACTCTGGTTCTAAAAATGTTTCTCTTAAAAACAAAATAAATAAAACTGAAAAGCAAGAAGTTTATTTAGAAGAAAAAGATGACTTTTTGAGTTTATTAAAAAAAAAGAAAATCGAAAAGTCTGCAACTAAACAATCATTTGCAACTCAAGATATTACGGAAAATCTAAGTTTAGGAGTTATCTCAGAAAATGTCAAACCTGAAGCACAATTTGAACCAAGCAAAGATAAAGTGCAACCTGAAAAAAGTATTTCAAACCAATCTAATACAATTGAACCACAAATACAAAATCTTTCTATGCAACAACTTTCTTTGCATCAAAATCAGCCAACTCAGCAACAATTGTTTGAATTAGAAAAGCAACAACAGTACTTTCAATATCTCAACCAACAAAATTCACTTGCACTACTTCAACAGCAACAGTTTCAGCATCAGCAACAAGTTGCACAGCAGTTGCAGTTTCTTAATACACCTTTCAACCTCACGTCTAATGTTTCACATGACACTTTAAAAAATGAAAATGCAAAAAAAGTACAGTTTAGTGTTAAAATTGTTTAATTTAGCTAATAATTATAAAAAATTTTATAAAATTAAATAATAATTATAAAATATAAATATATGTAATTTTTTTTTTCAAATTTATAATGAAATTTTATCTTTAAAAAATGTATATTTTAGCTAGCAGCTGAACAATCTTTCTATGAAGTTGTGCAAACTATGAAAAATACTTCTGCAATGCAGTCTGAGCTTTCCAAACCCTCATCTGATGCAGATTTCAAAAATCTTCAAGAAAAATATTTCAAATTAGAAGAAATTAAATCTCAGTCAAATATGGATTACACAGCAAAAATTTATGAGTTGGAAAGCAAAATCAAAAGCTTAGAGTTGGAATGTTCTTTTTTACTATCATCGCAATCAAGCTTGAAACAACGTCAGCAAGATGAGCTGAATGCTTTAGAATCATCTCATAAGTAAATTTATGTTTTCTTTATTTATTTTCTTTAGTTATTTTACCATTTCATTTTGGTTGTATTACTTTTACATTTTTTTTTAATTTTAAATATTATTGATTATTAGAGACATGCTAGAACCAGTTTATGTTAAGGCTTTGATTTCTGGAACTCGGTTGAAAGTATTGGATATATTTACAATATTTTAAAAACAAAGGTTTATGATCTCTTGCTGATAATTTAACACTAATAATTAATTTATGTTAATTTATCAGTTTTGCAAAGTTCTCTTTTGTTGTCTTTTTTTTTAAGTTTAATGCCACAAGTTATTGAGCCTTTTACTTTGCATCTTCCCATATTATTCTTCACTGCTGAACTCTCATGGAAACCATAAATACAATACCATGGAAACTCTCATGGAAACCATATATACATGCTGATCTCATGGAAACCATATATACAATCCATTGCAAAGTTAGTATCTGTTAATAATGCAAATCAAGTTACGTACACTTGGATAACAAGTTCTGTGTTTAGGGTTGATAAGGAGTAGCAAATAAAATACAAAGATACAAAGTACCTCCTCTACTGTTGTCACCCTAGATCATTGTCATATTTATGGCATATTTGTTGCTTTATTTAATCGAACTTTTAATGCAGGAGTGGATGGTATAATTTTTGAACAAGTTTCATTCCTTTTTTTATTTTTATTTTTTTTGTAAAGTTTGCAATTAGGGCAATAATATGTTCAAGTTTTTTTGACAAATTAATAGAAAAATTAGTATAAAGTTCAATATCATTGCACTCTGCATAAATTTCCAAATAAATTTTTAATTATGCAAAAAATTTTAATTATGCAAAAATGCAAAAAACACAAGGCTGCTGCACTAAAAAATAAGTTAAATACAGTACTACAAGGGATTTGATGGAAATTGAAATAAGTACTTCTTGCTTACAAAATGAGTTCTCTATCAATACACCAATTAATACTTTTTCTCTATTTTTTATTCCAGCTTTCATAATATTTGCACTCTCCCTAAATAATAAGGTTTGTACTATCCCTAATAAAAAGTTAAATTTTTCAGTTTCAAAAGATGCTAAATCTTTTTTTAAATACACATTAAAACACATCATCTCCATGACTTTTGGAAAAATCAATGGCTCAAAAAATTTTTTAAAAAAGTGATTTAACCAGTGATGCTTAAAAGTTTTGCCGTATTTTTTGTTGTCCTTTATTTAATTTGTTATTTATTTATTTGTTGTCCTTTATTTTATTTGTTATTTATTTATTTGTTGTCCTTTATATTATTTGTTATTCATATATTTGTTGTCTTTTATTTTATTTGTTATTTATTTGTTTGTTGTCTTTTATTTTATTTGTTAATTATTTATTTGTTGTCTTTTATTTTATTTGTTAATTATATATTTGTTGTCTTTTATTTTATTTGTTATTTATTTATTTGTTGTTATTTATTTTATTGGTTATTTATTTATTCAATCCATAAATTATTTAGAAGAATTTATTTACTACTTTTCTTAAACAATAAAAGTTTGTTTTTGGTATTTTAAAAATATATTGTGTTCCCCTTTCTAAAAAATCCAAAGCTTTTTTATTTACTGTTGAGCATTTTTTGAAGAAAAAGTGTTATATACTTATGAAATTAATGAAATAAAATGTAAAATTTTGGAACATGTAAAAAATGAAGTTTATATATAGCAGTGTATTTATGTGCAGGTTTTTGTATATAATAATTTTTTTTTTTTTTTTTTTGTTAACTGATATTGAGAAAAAAAATAAACTATATATTCATTCAAATAATTAGATTTATTACTTTAATAACAGGATGAGACTAGAGTATGTGGAGGAATCTTATAAACGTCGTGTAAAGCAATTGGAAGATGAAAACAAATTAATAAAAACAAATTACGATGAGAAAATAAATCTTCTCATTAATGAACATCAAGATCAAATCACCACATTGAAGCGGAAACTTGATTTCAAAGATCAGACTCATTTTTCGGACATGGAGCGATTAAACGAAGTTCATAAAAAGGTTTCTATTTTGTCTTTTAATTTAATTATGTATATGCTTATAAATGATCATGCTTGTAACTTTATCTCTATTAATGCCGTTGATCTTGATAATGTTAATGTTCTTTATTATAATAAATTATTACATGATGCAAATTTCTTTGTCTTTTTTAAAAGTGTTTAATAACCTGACCAGGGAACTTTAAATTTTCAAAATTTTCAGATTTTTAATAATAAGCATAAAAATTCTAGTGTTTGTTTATAAAAAATTTTTAAGTTTGTTTAAATCTTATTCTTTTTTTTTTGTGTGTGTGCTGCTCTCTTATGTTTGCTGGAAATCAGCATCTATCATTCAAACTTTTAAAAGCTCTGAAGACCTACTCAAGATCCTTAATATTGTCCGATTAGTCTTCTAACTGTTATTATCATATTATTATTTGTTTTTGACTTTAATTGACCAACTCTAAACATTTTATCTGGTATCCAAAAGCTTACTTTCTGCCAATCAATATGATTTATTTTTCTATTGCTGTTTTTTTATTTGGTTTTACCTGGTTTTGCATTAAAACATTTTCAGTTCATTTTCTTGACATACTAGGAGTTCTTCATAAAATCTTGCATGTTTGCATTATCCATAAACTTCCTTTATATGGTATATCAGGTAATATTTTTTAAACAAATGCAACATTTTTCTCCAATAGTAGAAATCAAAGAGTCCTTTGAATTATAGTATCGGAAAAAAAAGTTGCATTTGTTTAAAAAATATTACCTGATACACCATATAAAGGAATCTTGCATGTTTGTATTATCCATAAACTTTCTTTATATGGTGTGTTAGGTAATATTTTTTTACTTTTTTCCCCAATAGTAGAATTCAAATAATCCTTGATGGACAATTTTTCATTTCTAATAACCTTCTAAATCTATACTTCTACGTTCCATACTAGATATAGATACTAGTTATCTATTAATAAGAATTTGTATCTATCTATTATTATAATAGATACTATTTCTTATTTACATAAATAATCTTTGTGAAAAACACCAAAGTTTACTAGCTGATGTTTTAATTTTATATTTCAGTCTGGATAAAATTTTACCATTTTATGATCACTTAGAACAGGTAGCTAATTTGAATATGTTTTTTCTTCTGCAACTGCCTGAGGCTTGCAGTAGCTGCTGAATTTCAACTGCTCAAATGAGTTATGATTTCTTATTTCTTCCGACAAAATTCATCAAAAAATATGAATTTTTAAACTCTTAAGCCATATTCCTGCGGTTGTTTTTTCCTACTAAAAAAAATGTTATCTGTGTAGGTCAACTTGTTGTTTTAACAATTTGCTTTTCAAAGTTTTTTATAACTACTTTTTTGGTCTATAAATGTCTTTCTTACGTTTTTAGTGATTCTTAACTTGATAATTGCTGCCTCAAGTTTTTTTAGAAATTAATTTATATAAAAATACTTATACAATTATAATAGTAATAATATAAATTAATTTTTAATGTTTTTAAATGTTATTTTTTATATGTTACTATAACTAATTTTAACATTTATTAAATTGATAGTAGTTTGGTTAGTAAGTTTGTAGTAGGTTGGATAATAGGTTGGGTAACAGGTTAGATAGTAAATTAGTTTACAGATTTTATAGTTCTTTTGGCTTGCTGCATATTTTCAATTACGTTTTTTAAAAATGTTTTCTAATTAAGCAATTTATTGCAATTTTGTTGAATATTAAAAGAACAATAATAGTTTGTAGTATTCATTAAATAATATTCTCTCGTACTATGAGCATATGTGTTATTCATATATTATGAGAGCTACATATTGTTCCAAAATGTAACTATTTTATTTAGAGAATTACTTCTTTAGAGTTTTTTGATATTTTTAAGAAGTTATTTGTTTTGCGAATTGCTTTTTTGTTTTACCATTTACTTGTTTATTTTACGAGTTTCTACTCATTTTCTCAAAAAAAAATTTTCATTTATTTTTTTGTGTTAAATAATGTAAACATTTATTATGATGTGTAAAAAACGTAAATTATTATTATTAAATCATTATCATAAAAATCATTATTAATTAAATCATTCATTAAATTTTAAAAATCAAAAAAAAACTACCTGCAAATTCAAGCACAATTGTGTATTGCATAAAAAACCATAATTATATTGTTAAAGTCTATACTAAAAGATAAAAAAAAGTTATAATAAAATTAGTTTCATATAATTAGATAATTAAATCATAATTTTGTTTATTGTACTTGTGAAAAGATTTTTTTGTTATTTTAATTATCTTAGGTCATAACCAACCTAACTCAAGAGCACGATGAACGAATTCGACAACTACATATTTTAAAAAAACAAGAAGTGGAAGCAACTGTTAATGCATTTTCGCAAGCCAAATCTTTTCAAGGCTTGGTGGAGGAAGTAAAAAGCTCAACCAAAGAGGTAAAATAAATTAATTGGTAATAAAATTAAAGGCTTTATATAAATAAAGAATTATTTATTACATATTTTCCAGATTTATATTATTGTATATTACTATTATTAACATATACAATATTTATAGTATATGTATTATAAAACTTAAAAATATACTTTTAATAAAAGTTGTACCTCTTTCTCTTTTCTACAGATGCTATAAAGATTGTGGCTCAAACATGCTAATTTCAAACATCTTTAGTACCATTAAGTTAGTTTCAAACATCTTTAGTACCATCAAGTTAGTTTCAAACATCTTTAGCTTTATCAAGCAAAACACTATACTATGCTTGACTCGTCATTTAGCACAGCAGCCCAGTAATAATATAAAAAAAAAGATAAAAATAAAACTATTTAAATGTCTTATAATTTAAAATATTTAGATTTTTGAAACATTGTTATGGTGATTTTATATGCAAACATTTAAAAAAAAATATTGATAACACAAATAAGCTAATCGCAGAGGTACCCTTTGGTTGTTTTAGGAATGGTTTTTTACACATTAATTTTTTTTTTTTTTTTAATTACCTCTCCAAGGCCCGAGGGGGCCACTACAGTCCTGGAGGCTACTTTTTTTTTTTTTTTTGTTTGTTGTAAATTGTGGTACAACCCTCTCTCAACTCTTTAACTCCGAAACACGAACCTTGACAAGCAAGGCCGCTGCACGGAGAAATTAAGTTGGAATTATTGGAATATATTATTATAATAATATAGTATAATGTAATATTCCATTAATATACTAAAATAATATATTGTTATAATATGTTTATTCCATTAATATATTAAAATAATATATTGTTATATTAATATAATAAAATAATATATCTGGTAATTATATAGTTGATGGAAATTTATTTAGTTTTCAAATTTAATGACTCTGATTAATAAAAGCACATTAAAAATTGTTTTTTTTTTTATAACATAACCATTGAAAACAAAAAAATCATTTTTCCAAGTCATGTTGCCAAAAAATGACAGGTACCAACAATTAGAGAACTTTAAATTTTTATTTTTATTACTAAATTTTTTACTTATAAATTGAAAAATAATTAAAAGAAGTACTGAAAAGATATTATTGATAAACTTACGGTTTTGGAATAGAAAAAAAATTCTTGCCTTTACTTCCAAATAACTCAATCAAAGGTTCAAAAATGCATTGTAAATGTTGTTGTTGCCTCTAGCTGCTAAGCTTCCCTATTGTTGTAAGGTTGCATTTCTTTAACTTTCTACTTTCTTAATCTGGCTAACATCGCTTGTTATATTAAGCAAATCTCTATCTAACATTACTTCTCATTCAGCCGAGTGCTTTTACTGCAAATTTTCTTCATGCTTCAAAAAAAAAAAAAAATTCTTTCTTTTTTGCCTTTTTTTAAATTTTTTATAAATTTCCCAAGGGCTAAAGAACCGCTGCAGTTGAGTAGGCTGCTTTTTTATAGTTTGTTTTTTTTTAATTATTATTGTGTTTACAACTCTCTACCCATAAAAATAATATAAAATTAATTTTATGGGTAGCTTAAAACATTTTAAAAACAGATGGGTTTCTATTATCAACAAAATTAATTTCTTAGAAAGTTAGTCAGTATAGTTCTAAAATGATAGTCATTTAAAAAATTGATAAAGCGTGAACAAATTTTATTATTTTTTTTATATTAAACTATTATTTTATAATGATAATGATATAATACATTATATTGCTTCACCACAGCTAGTGGTGATGAATAAAATCTGAAAAAACAATCTGTATATACAGGTATATGCAACGCAAAAACTAACGCACCTCAAAAAGTCACTTATTAGAATGCAGCTAGGCCGATTTAAATATAAAAAATATAAGATTTAAAATTTTCTTCACGTAAATGTTTAAGGTAATGGAAAAATAAATCAGATTTGCTATTTTTATATCTTAAAGTAGTTTTTCTGCACTTTTTCTAAAACTTTCTCTGTTTTTTTAAATCCAGTTTTTCAGTTAAAACACCATAAACCATGAAAACTTCAGACTAAGTTTGCAAAGTTGCCTTTTTTTATGCTTTTAAGTTTCTATTTTAATAATAATCATATGAGTACATTTTTTTGAAATATTGTTTTCGATATTATTGAGCCAAGTTCGACCTAATAGTGATGTGGCTTTTGGGGTGCATATGGAAAATAAACTTAAAAGTCAAAAACCACAACTAAAATAATGTTTACTATAACTTGAAATTATACATTACATTTTAAAAGAATGTTTAGTTTAACATAAATTCTATCTACATAAATTCTGCATCGCTCTCTGATGTATTATTATTTGTATTGAATAAGTTTTTCCTTGGATTTGTTGCTGTTTTTTGCAAAGCTGAAGCAGGAAAAATCATTATAGGTTTTTTGCCTTCAACACGTCACGCTAAATTACTGCATTTTAAAATATCATGGCATTTTGGACATTTCCTAAACTTTGTTGCTTTACAAATGTTTTCAGTGCACACACATTTCTCTTTACATTTAATAAAAATTTTCTTTACTTCTTTTTTTTTTGCATTTTCCAATTGTGATCAAACTTTTTGTTCTTTCTTTTCATTTATGTCTGCAACTAAACTCAAAACGTCTTTAGCTTTCATGGACCCATGGACTTGAGTTGAATATGTGTTGAACTGGTGGATAAACTTGACTTTACTTTTCTAATAGTCATAAATCCTGGTATCTCCTCAAGTTGGATGCTCTTCTCATGAAGCTCGTTAATCAAAGATTGAGCACTTTCAAACTTTTCTCTCCAATAAAGTGCTGATGCTCTTCGTCCATCAGGAGAGACAACAAAAGATGAATCAGGGCTAGACAATGTAGATTTAGTGGATGAAACTGATGTCTCTTCAGGAGCCTTCATGCAATTATCTGCTCTATCAAAGTTGTCCTGCTGCATGAATTCAATTCTCAAACCTTCATTGGTAATACCAACTCGCTTTGGAGCTTTTATGAGAGTGGGTTTTGTTGCCCATTTATCCCATATATTGGCTAAAATAAGCATGATGCTTCCTTGTTTAGCGAATTTGCCTCAGTAAACATTTCATCTTTTTCTTTTCTATATTCATGATGAATATTTTTATTTAACTGGTCTAATAATTGTGTAACCCCTGTAGTATCTAGTGGAGTAAGAAACATCCATATGTCTTTTGATTGAAGGAACGGCATAACATGATAATCAAATCTGGAACTATGTCCATCTGATAATAGGACCACAGGTCTTTTAATATTGGTCTCTTTCAAATATTCATTAAACTCCTTAAAAGTGGCTAAAAGTGTATGACCATCTGATAGACCATGTTCTAAAGTGGTTACCATTAGATGCTTGGTTTTAGCTGCTACTTTATTTGGTACCATCAGGCTTGTTATACCAACATTGCCAAATATTACTTGACACATACAGATCTCTCCTAGAATTGTAAGTTATAAATTATTTAGTAATATTATCTATTCCAAGTTATTTTAAAAAGTTACTAAACAACACAGTTTTGGTACTTTTAATGTAAGAATAAATGTATAGTGAATCTAAGTTAAACCTTGATGATAATAGACATGTTAGAAAATAAAGTTTAAAGAAGAATATTAGTTTTACACATATATTTGTTAAAATCCAAAAACATTAAACACTAAAATAAAATAAAACCTGAGAATGACACGTAACGCATTCTCTGTTTTCTTTTCTCATTTTTTTGAATTGATCTCCCTTTGCAGCATAGACCATACCAGTAAAAGTTCCATCAACACCATAATGAATAAATTGTGGAGTTTCGTCATTATTAAAAACTCTTGTGGTGTCAATATTTCCTTTCCAAATCCCATCCTGATGGTGTTCAGCTTCTGTCAAAATCCCCGCAGCAATAAGTTCCTCAGCAAGTGCATCTATAACATAATTTGTTAAATTACCTAAATTAATTTTCAAAAATATAAGACTTTAAAAGGAAAGAAAAAAATTTAAAAGGAAACACATAGTTTTAACACAACTAATTAGATAATTGTTTATTCTCTAGAAACATGACACAATCACTTTTCAATAACAAACAACCCTATGTGATTGCGTGCCATTTTCCTAGTACAATTTAAAGCTCTATTGATTGACACTTGTTCTTGATGTTTGACAGTTAAACTATGATGTTTTGCATAAAATCTTTGCCAAAGTGACTGACCAAATCTAAAAAAATAAATATGCAAACATAGAACAACATTTTTCTAATTAGGTTATTTTTATAGTTTGTTTAAATACAGTTTAGCTTGTTTTAGTTTGTTTAAATACAGTTTAACAAGTGCTAAAAGTACTAAAAATAAAAGAAAATTGTAGAAATACCGTTGATTCTTTAATGCCAATTTAGTAGCAGATGACAATGGATGATATTTTTGTCCTCCTTTTAATTTCTTGTTTGTGTAATCTCTTATTTTCAATGTATTTAACATTAATTTAGTCAGTTGTGCCTTATTGACACCTTGCAAAGATCTATTTTTATTTTTTACAAAGCGTACAATTGAGTTCTCTTCCTCTTTTAATAATATAGAGCAGTATTGACGTTCATTTCCTGTTTGTATTTTACCATCCAGACGGGTTTCTGATTTACTGTTTGGGTTTATAGACCTTGTTCTAAAACACAAGGTAAACTTTGTTGTCATTTTAAAAATATTTTAAATATTTATTCCTGTATAACAAATAAAAGTATTTATACAAATTGCTTTGACATTTATTCAATACATATACAAGTAAATCTAACAAACCTGCCACCTATGGCATAGATATATATATGTATAACAAGAATAAATAATAGTTTTATACAATTTTAAGATAAGTTATTGGATATTAAGAAAAAACTAATGTGGTTTTTGGGGTGCATGTGATGTGGTTTTTGTAGTGAAAAACATACCAACAAAAAAATTAAGTCTGCAATCATATACACAATCAACTCAGAATATAATATAACTACCACAAACCAAATCTTGAAGCTAAAACTTGTTTAGATAAAGTTCTATTAGCGTTTTTGTTGATGTGGTTTTTGAGGTGCGCATTGAAAAAACAATGACTTTTTGACATAATAAAAAAATGTAACCAATTATAAATAATTTTCAGCAACACCAAGGAAGGAGCTGTTTATAGTGGTAGTAATGAAAAATATTAAGAAAATTTATAAATATATTGTCTAGAAAAAAATACAAGTATGCCATCATTTATGTGGTTTTTGCAGTGCGCCTACCTGTATATAATAATATAAAATGATCATTCTTTTTAAAGTTTTTATAAAGCTTCGCATTTTTCTACACGCTTTTTTATTTATTCAAATGACGCTCTGTTTGATCGAAAACACTAAGGCTTTTTACCCATTTCCTCTTTTATTATTGGCACAATGTTTTAGGTCAGTCTGAGATTTATTTTGGACATGCATTGTTTTCATTTAACGCTACAAAAGTCTTTTTGTTTCTTTTTATACATTTATTTTTTATGTAAATAATACTTTTTTTTTATGTCAACCGTCATCCTACATCATTAATACAATCGAATTACTAAAACAACCTGTATTTAGATACTTGATTTTATTATTGATACGTAGTTATTTTAGTGCTGGTACCAGTTATTTTAAAAGGTTGATAAGTTTTCATAACTGTCTAATTAATGTGACAACGCTAATTGTTATTTTTTGGTACTGTTACCAGTTATTTTAAAAGGCTTCTAAGTTTTTATAACTGTCTAAGTAATGTGACGACGCTTATTGTAATTTTTTGGGGGCCTAATATTATGTTGTTATATTTGCATATTAAATTTTCCTTTGTGCTTGCTAATACTCCGTATTTTATTAGTATATTCAGTTGTGTGTTGAAAAAGGTATTGTGCTTTTTTGTAGGTGAACAACTTACAGGAGAAGTTTTCAACTGATTACCAAGCACTTCTCCGCGAGCAAGAAATAGTTCTTCAAATGCGAAACGAGCAGTTAGAAAATATGTCAAATCGACTTCAACAACGTGAAAAAATAAACGAAGAGGAACGAATCAGACTGCAAACATTAGTGTCGAGGTTAGAGATTCAGTTGCGCGATCAAACAAGACTTTATGAGCAAGACAAATGGAAGTTAAACCAAGATGAAAATAGGTTAAAGACATTGCAGGTTCACATTATTAAATAAACATTTATAATATGATGTCGGACTTTTTTGTGTGTGTATTACTTTTATTCTGTTAAATAACAGCATGTTTTTGAAGAAGATCGTCGTATCACTAGCCAACAACTGCAAGAAGAACGGACTCAGATTGCAAAATCTAAAGAAGAAATGCTAGCTGAACAGAGAAAGTTAATTGCGGAATGTTATGAAGAAAAAAGACTTCTAAATGAAGAAAAGTTGGCATTGTTAGCGCTTCAACGTGAGGTTATAGATGCAAATAAAATCGATCGCCGTTCAATGATACAGGTGAAGGGTATAGTTGATTACAATTATACTTGATTAAGTATTTTAAAAATAACTTACGAGCTTTTCCAAGTTGGTTATTTATATCGACAATTTGGAGGAACATTATAGTATTATATTTTTACTGTATAATGTTTTAGCTAACAATATTTTACCTAAATTGAGTTTTTTAATTATTCAGTGCGTCACAACGTGACAAACCGATGTTGTATCGTCATTTTACTGTTTTATGCGAATGCTCTGAAAGTATAATCAAACAAAATAATCACTGTATTTCTTTAAATATATTTTCGATTCTACTTTTAACAGTTTTAAAGTCATCTATTTTCAATGACTTTAAAATTCATTACTTTAAAATTCATGTAACGTGCAATGGCTTTTATATAAATATATTTGGTAATTTTCTTTCTTTTTTTTTAAATCTTGCATTTTTATGCTTCTCTTAGGCTGAGAATGACTTTGAATTGGTGGCGGCCCGTCAAAAACACGATTCTTCTACTTTTAACATTCGTTTAGCGCATGTGCAACAGGAAGAAGCTCGTTTGGCACTTGAGAAAAGCGAGTTTCTCAAACACGAACAATCAATTTCCAGTGAACAGGAGAGGTTGCGTGAAATAGGTCGTGTGTTACATGAAAAATCTAAAGAAGTTGAAGACTTTGCAAAGGTTTTATGATACATAATATTTTTATAAGTTGTTGTTTATATATATATATATATATATATATATATATATATATATATATATATATATATATATATATATATATATATATATATATATATATATATATATATATATATATATATATATATAAGAGAGTGAGAGAGAGAGAAAGAGAGAGAGATGTGCCTTATTATGTCATTAAAAATGACAGTTCTTTTGGCAATTGCAGGAAGCAAAACGAATGTACGATGAAAGTGTTAAATCTAGTGAGCAAACTAACGTTTTTCGATCTTATTTGGAAAATCTTAAAAACGAACTTGAGGTCAGAGCTATATCTCTTGAACAAAAAGAAGCAGAACTATTTCAGGTTGATTTAATTTTTGCATTTTATCTATTTGACTTAATAACTATTTGCTTACGAAAGTTAAGAAATTGTTTTGAGCAAACTTTTTTAATTTGATACAGCAATATGAGAATCTTGAAGTGCTCCGAAGAAAAGCCACGGAAGCCAGCCAACGTATGACCTGCCTTCAATGTAAAGGATTTCTTGCTCCATGTAATACAAGTATTACACCAGGTAGTTTTGCAGTATTCAGTGTGTCTATGTGTGCGTTGCTGTAGTTACTGTGGTTGATATTGATATGATTTTTTTTGAGGATTTTTTTGATTTAATTATAATACAACATCTTTTTTGCACTTCAGGAGTTCCTTCAAGATCGCAATCGTATTTTGGTAAACGAGGAAATGATTCTCAAGAAGTCACAGCCTCAAAAGCTATTTTAACGAGCACGCCTGATTTAGGTGCTGACATGAATCGAAATTTTAATAACTATAAAACTCAAACGTGTAATCTTAATGAACATGTGGAAGTTCCAAATAAGTTTATGTATTTAGATAATGTTGAAGGTGTCGGCATGTTCCAGCAAAATGGAAACTCGATCGGTACTTCCAAATCATTTCAAAGAGTTCCAAATGCAAAATTTAAACCCCCAGATTTACTTTTAAATGATTTAGAATTTAGAAGCCACTTACGCAGATGGGACTCTGCTAAAGGCAGAGATGACGACTTTATTGAAGAAGAGACTAAATTTTTAGAAACGCTTAGTCAAAATAGATAGCATATATTTATGAAACACACTTATTTATAAACGCAAATATTTCATAAAAATTTCTTTCCAAAATTTATTAAGATTGGGGTTGACGTCACAAAGTCGACTTAAAATTTACTAAAATCTGGGTTGACGTCATATGGTGACGTCTATGGTGAACTTAAAACCAACTACGTTCATTTTAATCAATTCACTATGAATTGATTTTACTGATGGTAAGGGGGATTAGTTTTTATAAAACGTTGTGCCTCCGCATCCAACTCCACGGTGCCACTTATGACAACGATGTAAGTAAAATTATACAAACTGAATATATTTTTTTCTTTTTTTTTTCTCAATTACATATATACTATAATACTTATTACATACATACAGCTGGGTTGTTTTTTTAAAATAGTCACAAGTTAAATTGAGTTTTATTTGGAGTTATTAAAATATTTTATTTGTGGTTTAAAAAAAATATTAAATAAAAGTTTGAAAGCTAAAATATATTTCAAAATTATTTTTATTAGTTTTTTCATTTCTTCTGATACTTCTTTTACTTGCTCTAACTTATCAAGTCTTCTAACAGGAAATGTCAACGTTTTCCAAAGATGTCTTTAACCGTCATTAGGGAAAATATTACACAAAAACTACACAACATTTTGACATCGTGTTACTCAAGTCGTTGAATTTGTTGGCGACCATAAAACAAATTTTTGGTAAACATTTTTTTAATAAAATTTTAAGTAAGGTTAAAATGCATATAAAAGGCTACAAATTATTAGAATTATTCATAAACTTGTTAACTGTTAAAAAAAAAATTAAATTAATACAATTAAATGTTAGTTTTTTGTTAAACCACCTTAAACCACTATTAAAACATAAGTTTTACGCGGCATCTTATCAATCCAAAACTGCACTGTCTCCTGTATTTGAAGACGATGGTTCCGCACATAAATGATCTTTTCTAAGTTCCGCACATAAATGATTCTTTTCCCTGTTTGTTCGGGATTACAACTTTATCCACATTTCTCTTCATCAGCTTCTACTCGTTTTCAATAGGGTTTATATAGGATATTTCAATAGGGTTTACATAGGATATTTCAATAGGGTTTATATAGGATATTTCAATAGGGTTTACATAGGATATTTCAATAGGGTTTACATAGGATATTTCAATAGGGTTTACATAGGATATTTCAATAGGGTTTACATAGGATATTTCAATAGGGTTTACATAGGATATTTCGATAGGGTTTACATAGGATATTTCAATAGGGTTTACATAGGATATTTCAATTGGGTTTACATAGGATATTTCAATAGGGTTTACATAGGATATTTCAATAGGGTTTACATAGGATATTTCAATAGGGTTTACATAGGATATTTCAATAGGGTTTATATAGGATATTTCTAGACCAATTAAACAGAGAAATAGTTTGCTCTTCCTCAAAATAGACCTCTGTGTTTTAGGAAGCTTATGTTCCATAAAAATAAATGGCTTCCTATATAAAAACCATTCTTTGAGCTTCCAATTTTGTAAGACTTCTTTGTTACTGATCTTGCCTTACCATAACTTTTACCACGTACCTACATTCAGTAGCCTTACCGCTAATGACTGGCCAGATGATCAGCGGCAATCACTTCTGTCGGTGCTTAGCCGTTCATGATCAAAATTTTCTAAATAATAACAACGCACAGAGATTTATTCTTCAATGTTTTAAATGTGCTTTTGATGCTGAGGCAGACCTGTTTGAAAAAAGTATATAAAAAATCTCTTGAATTAAATCCCATTACATGTATGTTTAAATATAAAAGTATGGCATATAAACTCGTGCAAAAGATTTATATATATATATATATATATATATATATATATATATATATATATATATATATATATATATATATATATATATATATATATATATATATATATATATATATATATATATATATATATATATATACATATAACAACCTTTTCTTTAACCCAGGTTTATTCACAGTTTGAACATGTATACGTTTTATTATAATATTGCAATGTTTGAAACTTAGAAGTTTTGAGTGATATACGGAAAAGAGTACTACAAGATTACTAGTGAGGCGTTTCACACATTTTTTATTTTATTTTTTTTTACAAACAATTTGTTTTTCACTTATATGCAAACAGTTGCTCTACAAGAATACTAATAGAGAATATGTATAAAACTTTTTTATATAGGCAAACAGTACAAGCTTCAATTCTCTTTAATGTTTACGTTTATTAAATGTTTGCTGTATTGACTTATGTTAGTCAACATTGTAAACGTTTAACCGACGTTTAATAAACTTATACATTACAAGGTTTGCAATTTACGCTGTAATCCGTTAAATGTATACGTTTACTAAAGGTTGAATAAACGCTTGCAATATTGGATTTAGTTATTTAATATTGTAAATTTTTAGTCAACGTTTAATAGTTTTTTGCAAACTCAATTAAGTAATTATTAGGGGTGTACCGGAATTCCGGCCGGATTTTTTTTATTTCAGATCAATTCGCTTCTGGCTGTAGTTAAATTTTTTTAATTTTTTTTTATGACATGTGACACAGGCAGTGTAGACAAATTAAAAAATCATTATCCTTCAGAGCAATGAAGAACTATAGGTAAATCTAGATTAAAAATACAAATGTAAGTTTATTTTCAGTAATAGTAATACTGCAAATACATTTACAAAAATACCATTTACTTATAGTTCTTCATCACTCAGTAGGATAATGATTTTTTGATTTATCTACACTGCCTGTATCAGATGTCATAAAAAAAAAAGTAAAAAAAAAGTTTAACTACAGCCAGAAGCAAATTGGTCTGAAAGAAAAAAAATCCGGCCGGAATTCCGGTACACCCCTGGTAATTATCCAAGTATTTTAAACTATTAATGGAATATTTGATGTTGGAATCAATGGAATCACCAGAGTAGTTATCGATAACACACTTTAAGTTTTTGAAGTACTATGTGCTTCAAAAAATTGAAGTGTATGAAGAAAATATAAATTAAGAAAATTCTAGAGGAACGAAAACACTAAAAAATTTTGGATTTAAAATTTCTTTGAAAAACACAGTACAATGGCAATTACAATAATGGAATCATTGGCCTTTTAAGTACAAGAAATGAAAAAGAATTTTTTGGAATTTCTGCGCTCAAAGTGAAGTCTGACATTTTGACACTTTCTTTCTATACCAACAATACCAACATCAATATTGGAGTATTAAAACTAAATGTAACACCAAAAGACTTAGAAGATGCTATTCTAAGAGATCTCAAACCAAACTCATCAGTATTTCCTGTAGATAAACACGGTAACCAGTTCCCTACGTATTTATTAAGCTTTCGTTTGAAAAATAAAAGAAATATTTTCTCAAGATTGATTAGTTTGGAGCAAATCTAAAAATGATTTGATCTGTTTTTCTTGTCGTTTATATTACAAATTTTGTGAGCAATGATCAATTTTTGCTACAGATATATGGTTGGCAGGCTTATAGAGTATACAAAAAATTTTATGATAGATTACTTGACTATGAAAAATCTAGCAATCATAAACCTCGTTATATCTAGTGGCAAAATTTAGAAAACAATAATATAATAATTTTTTGCTGAGCGTGGGTTGGCCTTAATGGGTGTTACTCATTTGATTGGAGATTTAAATAAATGAAGGTTTCTAGAATTGTTAGAACTTTAAAGTCATTACAATCCGCTTTTAGAAGAACATTCAAAAAATGCAATGCAGGCACAAAATAAAAAATTGATAGTGCTAATGTGAAAATCAGAATTAATGGCAAAAGACTTTTCCAATCTAAATATATAAAATAATTCGGGCTATTTCTTGACAAAAAACTATGATGGTGCTATCAACTAGTTCAATTAAATAAAAAACACTCACGTGTCAATAGTATGTTGTCATTAATACGACACAATGTTCCCCAACACATTCTGATGTCAATTTACTATTCCTTGTTCTCGTCACATCTAAGTTATTGTTGCACTGTTTGGGGTCAAAAAGGTAGTTTTCTTTTACATTGTATGAATAGTTTACAACGCACTTCCATAAGAAGTATAATACTTTCTCCTTTACGATCTAATATCCAAAATAGGTTTTCTTAATTAAAAATTCTAAACTTTCAAGATCTTGTAAAGCTTTATAATTGTCACTTTGTCTTTGATTTTCTTCAAAACAAACTACCAAAATCGTTCATTAATTTTTTTTTAAAACATACACAAATATTAGACTCAAATTACTGGAAATTTTATCTTGCACACTTCCTATTTCAACACTATCAAATATGGCAAGCTCTCTATAAAACATCAATCTATCTTTCACTAAAATCAAATAAACCATATGAATAAAAAGATTTTAACTAAATACCCTTGGATTACCAAAATTCTTCTTCTTAATCGAAACCAAATTAAGAAATTTTTATTTGAGTATATATTTACTGAATATAAATTTTATCTTTTGCTTTTTTTATATTACTGTATTTATAAAACTATCATTACTTTTATTTAATACTGTCTTTTTTAACTTTACTACTAACATAATTATTATCTATATTAATTAATTTATTATATTAATTAATTTATATTTGTTTTATAAATCTTATTAATATTATTTATAATGATAGTGATAGTGATTCATTTGTAGTAATAGTTTAATAGTTATTGTCCTAATTTTTGCAATTGTTATGTTTATTTTTATAACTTTTGTCATAGTTATAAACTTTACTATAATTATTTTTACCATAGCTCTTATCATTAGTTATAATTTTTAGTAATGTTATAATTACTATTTGTTGCAATTAATAATATTATCTTTATTTATTTTTACTTTATTTTCTTTTCTTTTCTTTTTTTTTCCTCTTTATTTTATTTTGAATTCTTTCTTTGTTTTATTTATAGTTTTTTTTTTGTTTTTTTATGTGTTTTTTTTAAATGTCGCTCCGTTGACTACCCAGCCAGCATTGTGATGCGGGTGCCGTGGGGGACCCGTACGGGATGTCAAATGAGACCGGTACCGGCTTTGGCCGCGGGATCTGTATGGGTACCATACGGAGCATATAAAAAAAAAATTATCGGCTGCTTTTTCTTTTTTTTCCGTATTGACCCCAGAATTTTCCTAGAAATATTTTTTACTATATATAACTATATATAATTTTTCATACCTTGAATAAACGACAATTTGTTTAAAGCCATTTTTTTCATTTTAAACAAAGAATAATTAAATCATGATAATTCTTTATAAAAGTTTAAAAAAAATTTTATTCGCAAATTGAAATCGCAAACACTGTTTTATTAAATAAACTGTTATAACAAATGTAATCAATATATACCTACTAAATCAAGAAGTTATACTAAATTACTAGGTATACTAAATCAAATCATAATATTTTTATACTAATGTATACTAAATCAAATCATAATATGGTATGGTCAAACCATAATATGAAGGTATACTAAATCAAATTATAATATTTTATACTAATATATTAAGACTACCTAATGCCATACTTTTGGATAAAATATATCGCAAAAAATATATATTATAGTAAGATTTATTTTGCAATTTATTTCAACTAACGCATCGCGACGTTAGAATTATCTTGTTCTATCTCCACTTTCTGAAAAAATTTAGTTAATGATAGTGTTGTGTTCCTCAAAATAATGTCTTTCTACTGAATTAAAATCTAAGTTATAAGTAAAAAAGTTGCAGAAAAAACATAAGTTATAAAAAAAAGTTTATACGCCGTCTCCTAAAGTTTTTGTTTTTTAAATCGTTTTATCCCAAAACTCAAAAATGTGGAGATAGAACAAGATAATTCTAACGTCGCGGCATGTTTAGGTGCTGCATAAATAAACTATAAAGCAAAACAAAGTTTATCAAAAAAAACTTCTCAAAGAAGCACTGCTTGGTTTGGTAATACTCGAGATAAAGGCAAAGACGGCCAAAAAGAACAAATATCAAATGCAGCATCAAACACAGAAAAGAACATATAGAATGTACATAATGCAGCAGCGAACATGTAACGTAAAGAATACAGCAACATTATGTAAAGAATACTGCACTTCTATATATATTGATTACACATTCATTTCATTTGTTTAAAATGAAAAAAGCTGCTTCAAACAAAATTGTCGTTAACTAAGATATAAAAAATCTAAGTTATACATAGTAAAAAAAAAAAAAATTTTCCAGGAAAATTCTGTTGCCAATACGGGAAAAAAAAGCAGCCAACAAATTTTTTGTTTTTTTTATTTGGCCTGTATGGTACCCATATAGATCTTGCGGCCAAACCCCGTACAGTTCTTGTTTGACATACACTACTGTTCCCTTACGGTACCTGCATCACAATGCTGGCTAGGTAGTTTTTAACTATATGAGTGACACCTAACCTTGTTTATGTGAATATATAAAATATTATTGTAAATTTTTATATATTATGTATAAATAAATGGATTATAATAATAAACATACTACATTTGATTGCCTTATAATAAAACAAATAGAAAATGACACACAGAAATGGAAAAATTTACTAAAATGATTACTAGGTGTAATTTTGTTTTTTACTGAGCATTGATTTGCCTTAAGGGGTGTTACTCATTGAATTGGGAATTTGAATAATGAAAGATTTCTAGAACTATTTGAATGTTTTAAGTCATTACAACCTCTTTTCTTCTAATATAACCAATCACTTCTTTTCTCTTACTCTCTTTTTTTCTAATATAACCAATCATTTCTTTTCTCTCAAGGGTTCACGACTAAATGTGTTCCACTAGTGACTAGACTTACTTGTTCTAGTTGCGAACTTTATATAAAGGCACAAATCGAAAAGCAGAGATTGCAATCTCTACTTTTTGTTTTGTGCCTGCATTGCATTTTTAGAAGAACATTCAAGAAGTGATTGGTTATATTGGAAGAAGAGTGAGAGAAAAGAAGTGATTGGTTATATTTGAAGAAAAGAGAGTGAGAGAAAAGAAGTGATTGGTTATATTAGAAGAAAAAAGAGTGAGAGAAAAGAAGTGATTGATTAAATTGGAAAAAAAGAGAGTGAGAGAAAAGAAATGATTGGTTATAACAGAAAAAGTGTTACTAAACTATTTTGAACAGATGTTCAGTGATATAGCAGGCAATTAAGAAAAGAAAATGGGAACAGTACATTTGTATTACTACTAAATAAATTTATATTTACATTTTATATTTATTTTATTTTTGAACCCAGCTAAAATTGTGACAAAATACCCAGCACACTTACATTGGGCCAACGTATGTAAAACCATCGCAAACGTCGGTTCTTTTTTCCAATTAGTTAAAAATTAACGTTGTTACTGACGGAACTAAAAACATCTGGCAAATTTACATTGACCCAATGTATGTAAAAACATCGCAAAAAGTTCAGTGTTTTTACAATCTAAACCCAATGTTGATCCACGCTATATATTTCTACGTTGATTCAATGTATATAAATCAATGTTTTTCCGATGTATGTAAAAATATCAAAAAAATTTGATTGTTTTTACGATCTAAACCCAACGTTGATCCAATGTATATATTTCGACGTTGATTCAATGTATATAAATCAACGTTGATCCAATGTATGTAAACACATCGCATAAAGTTGATTGTTTTTACGAACTAAACCCAACGTTGATCCAATAATGCGACCAAACATTGCTATCGCGAAATTATATAACTTCAATAAAATCTTCCTTGATTATAAAAATATCATAACTTTTGTTCCAATGATCAAGCGTTGACAAATTTATTTATAAATTGTCGCTTTTTACCTTTTCTATATCTAATGTTTTGCCCCCGTCCTCGTTCAGGACGTTAAATATGGTAAGGTTTTTTAGTGGGCCATACAAACATATATAAACATATATAAATATATATAAATATAAATATATATATATATATATATATATATATATATATATATATATATATTTATGTATATATATATATATATATATATATATATTTATGTATATATATATATATATATATATATATATATATATATATATATATATATATATATATATATATATATATATATATATATATATTTAAACAATTTAAAATGTATTCTACAAAAAGAGTGCTCAATGTTCTTAAAAGAACAGAGCAATTACAAATTAGTAGAAAATCACTTAGCAAAATTTTTTCTTATTTAACACTGTGTTTCATCAATAAAGACTCATCAGAAAATTGATGAGTCTTTATTGATGAAACACAGTGTTAAATGAGAAAAAAATTTGCTAAGTAATTTTCTACTATATATAAATATATATATATATTTTCTACATATATATATATATATATATATATATATATATATATATATATATATATATATATATATATATATATATATATACATATAAATATATATATTTATTTATATATATATATATGTATGTATATACATATATATATATATATATATATATATATATATATATATATATATATATATATATATATATATATATATATATAAAATCGCTATCAAAACAATTTTGGTATGAAGCTATCAACCAGCTATAGGTTTGTAGGTATTTTGTAGCTATCTAGAAAGTTACGATATGTAGCTAGCGACACATTGCTACAAAATCGCAATGTTTAAAGTTCAATTATTCTCATAATTATAATAGACTCAAGACTAAAAATCGAATTTTAAAGATGTTAGAGACATTAGAAAGAATAAAATAAGAAAAAAAAACGTTGTGCAAACTAAAAATACAACGTTGGGCCAACGTTTGAAATAAAACGTTGAACCAACGTAGAAAATATAATCATTTTCCAACTTTGAATAAACGTTTTATCAATATTGGTTTTTAGTTGTTGGTGACGTCGCATTTGTAACCATAATGATATAAAAACAACGTTGGCAGCCGATGTTGGGCCAACGAAACGCGCGACATTGCTCTAATGTTTTAACAACGTATGTGTGCTAGCTGGGTAACATATACTTTAAAATTATTGAAATTGCAGCCAGAACAAAATTTAAGGCAATATGATGTGGTTTTTCGTTTCATATTTAGTTTACACTGTTTAATAGAGTTATTCGTTTTATGTTTAGTTTACATTTAGTTTATATGGTTTACTGCCCTATATAAAGATCGTAACTAAATCAAGTAAGTCTGGTCACTAGTGGTCAAAAGTATTCGTTTTATACTAAGTTTATATTTAATCACAATTTATTGCGTTTAAGTGAGATTATTGGTTTATTATGTAGTAAAGATCCAACATGAGTGGATCATATAAAAGAGTATAAGCTCGCATTTTTCAAACTAATCCATTGGCAATAATTTCTCCTTGTGCATCAGGGTGCATTGAAAAACAGAATTTTTTTAAAATTGTCTTGTAATAGCTCTAAATATATGCGATATAATAAAATATCAAAAGAAATTTCGAAATAAAAATATTTTCAGAGGTGCCCCTTGAACATTTATAGGCCCTTGAACATTTATAGGGCATTTATATAAAAAAGTTCTTCAAAAGAAGGTCAACCTGGTGCTCAGAAGTAGTGAAATTTTATAAAAAGTTTGAAAATAATAATTGTTTTATAAAAAAAACAAATCGAACAAAAAATATATGGAAAAACCTGTAAAAATGCACTTTTTTTATTTTTAGTTTAAAAACTGTAGTTATTATGCAATTAAATTCAAAATAATTTATTTATACATGAATATTTATACATGAAACAAATATTATTTTTAAAATTTTTATAAAATTTCGCTTCTCTTGAGTACCAGGTTGACCTCCTATTGTAGAACTTTTTTTTCAAAAATATTAGGGACCCTGTAAATCTTCAATTGACTTGGGGCACCTCTGAAAATATTTTTTACTAGCCATACAAAGCTAAAGAAAATGTACAGCAAACAAAAATATACATGCAGGTTCCAGAAATTTTTTAAATCCAGTGGTAATTTCACCCTTTGGGTGTAACTTTTTCAGGGATTTTTTATTAGACACGTTCATTTTGTGTTGTTTTTTTTTTTTGCGTTTTTTTTTTGTATTATTTTACTTAAAGTAATTACTAGATTTTAAGGTTTTATAAACTTGGAAACAAAAACAACAAAAAATTCCCCAAAAAAAAGTTTGTTTTAAAACTATTTTTAAAACACCATTTACTAAGCAAATACGCATTATTACATTACTTTAATGGCATTGGTAAACAAATGCTAACCCATAATTGTCAACATTTTAAAACTGCTTTCCTTGCGTCAATATCATTAAAATAAGAACATAATATTTCCGTAACTATGAATACCAATAATATAATACCACACAAAGAGACTGGAAACGTATCAAAAATATATAAAATAACAAAAAAAATTTAACTTAGTAAAACTAAAATGGTTATTTACATATTTTTGTAAATATCAATTTTAGTTTTACTAATTTAAATTTTTTGATTTATTAATTTCGTTTTCCTGTGGAGTAACCTAATTTTTAAATATACTTTTAGCGTACCTCTATACATTGTTTAAAACAATAGTAATTGGAATTGTAATGGCTTGGACACTGACATAATAAATCTGTTTAAGTGCTTTTTTAAAAATATTGTATTTAATGCTAAATAAAAAAAGGATTTACAAAAAAATAAACTATAATTTAATATTAAATTTCCATCTGTTTTATCATGAAACCTTTCAACTTGAGTCTTGAAAATTGACGAGTGCTAAAAAAGAAAAAACTAAAAATTTGCTTAAAAGTTAGCTTAATGGTGGGAGGCATATTTTTTGTTTGATAAACGCTTACTCTTCAAAATTATGCACACTATTGGGGTAAAAAAAAAAAATGCTATAATTGTTTTTGTTATTAAATCAAAAAGACACCAAATACTTTCAAAAAATTCAAAAAAATTTTCTCTATAAAGAAAAATTTTTCGCAAAAACGCAAAAAATATTACATTATTTTAATGGTATTGTATATATTTGTTTAACCCATAAAACATAATTATAAATATTTTACAATTGTTTTCCTTGCGTCAATACCATTAAAATACTATAAATACCACACAAAGAGACTGGAAACTTATTAAAAATATATAAAATGACTAGTTTAAAAACATTTCAAAACAATCAAAAAATTTAAATTGGTAAAACTAAAATTGATATTTACATACTTTTGTTAATATCAATTTAGTTTTACTAATTTAAATTTTTTTGATTTATGTAAATTTCTTTTTCTAGTGGAGTAACGAAGTTTTTAAATATATTTGTAGTATACCTCTATACTTTGTTTAAAACTATAGTAATTGATTTGTAATGGCTAGGACACGATTTACCTTTGAGACTATAAATCTGTAATAGTGTTTTTTAAAAAATATATTTACTAATGGTTATGAAAAAAGGTAAATGAAAAAATAAAGTAATATTAAATATTAAATTTGTATCTGTTTTCTCATCAAAACTTTGATTATTGACGAGTGTTAAAAATAAAAAATAAAAATTTTCTTTAAAGTTAACTTTATGGTGGGAGGCATACTTGTGTGTGTGTGATTAACGCTCACCATTCAAAATTATGCACACTATTAGGGTAAAATAGTGTTATAATTGTTTTTGTTATTAAATTAAAAAAAAACACCAAATACTTTCAAAAGGTTTTAGGTAATAAAATATCCTTAACTATCTCTACCTTAATTATCTCTAAAAAGAAAAATCTCCAAAAAGTATTTTTAGTACAATTGCTAAGCTGTGGTTCTACTTTTTGCAATTACAAATAAAGTTATTGTATTTTAAGTCATTGGTTTAACGATGGAAGAAAATACACCTTAAACGATTTTATCGGCATAAAACGTCAGATCTTCTTTTTTTGCCGTGCTTTATCGATTATCAATATCGCGCTTTTTAATGCTGAAGTGCCTAACAAAATATACAAAAAACACACATACCAAAAAACATTTTATAAAAAATATTTTATAAGAAAACAATATTGGCCCTATATTATTTACTGTCACAGTAACTGTGTGAAAACTATATAAACATTATTGGGCCAATCTTTTAAAAATTTTTTCCCGAAAATTCAAAAAAAAAAGTTGCTTTTAAAATAATAAAATAAAAAGCAGTTTACTTCTGCAAAAACGCATTATTACATTATTTTAATGGCATTGTAAATAAATACTAACCCATAAACATAATTATCAACATTTTACAACTGCTTTCGTTGCGTCAATACGATTAAAAAAATAACATAATTTTACCGTTACTTTAAATACCAATAATATGATACCACACAAAGAGACTGGAAACTTATTAATAATATGATACCACACAAATAGACTGGAAACTTATTAACTAGATGATACTACACAAAGAGACTGGAAACTTATTAAAAATATATAAAATGACTAGTTTAAAAACATTTCATATCAATGAAAAAAGTTAAATTGGTAAAACTAAAATTGATATTTACAAAAGCGTACAGGTAAATTCATTAACTTGTCTTTGTTTATTAATGTCTTTTTTTATGAATAAATGCTTCAAATTCGTGTATTCTATTCTACATGTAAATTTCTTTTTTCCTGCCGAGTAGCTAAGTTTTTAAATACATTTGTTGTTTACCTCTATGCATTTTTTTAATACTTTTTTGCATGTTTATGATTTTGAAAAATATTAATCTCTAAGTAGCAATCAATTACTACATAGAGATTTCGACGTTTCTTCCAAATTAATTCTGCCACCCAAAAATACATTTTTTATTTATAAGCTGATTGAAACATTTCTTTGTCTGGACTAAATACTTTTACGATGTTTTTTGGACATTTTTTTATTTTCTTTATTTTTTTATTTATTTTTTTTTCTTAATTTCTTGAGTTCAGCTTTTTTTTTTTTTAAATAAAAAGAAATAAATGGTCTTTATATTATAAGCTCAAAATATTGTTTTTTTATATTTTTAGAGAATGAGCTCAATTCTAACATCAGTTTTCATTTTTTCAATGATTTTATTTTCTGTGTATGCAAGAAATTGGCGTATAGGAGACGGTGGTTTAGCCCGATGGGATACAAACTGCGACTTTAACGGTAGTGACATTGACCATGTTCCAAGCACAGGTGCGCAATGTGGTGGCGTTTGCATTGCAGATGCGCGGTGCACACACTTCACTTATTCAAGTGGCACTTGTCATAAAAAACGTTATTTAGGCAGTGGCTTTCGTGAAAGATACGCTGGAGGTGATGCTGTTTGTGGTTGGATTGTTAACCGTAGTGGACAACCTTCAAAGTAAACAATTCAGTATATTTAAGATCAAGTTGAATATATTACTATCAAATGGAAGTTTTAAAAATTAAAATCTTCAAATGCTGTTGTATTTCTTTTTTGTTCAAATAAAATTATTTGAAAAAATCATTGTTTAGTAACTTTTTCATAAAAATGCAAAATTTGAACGCTAAAGTGGCCACATCCTGGCTAGCACTAGAAAAAAAAACAGTTAAAATATTTAAGGAATTGGGTAAAAGCTAACTTTTAGCTTCATTTTTTTTAAAGAATAAAATTGTTGAAAACGAGATAGTGAGCCTCTGGAAATTGCAAAAAAGTATTATATACTAATTATATATTAGTATAGTATATTATAAGTATTACTTAATGAAAAAATGCTCTTAACTATATAAATTATGCCTAACTCATCTAATCAATACGTTTGATAGTATTTCGTCTCACCAGTTTAATGGTGCAATTTATCTTGATTTTGTCAAAGTTTTCGATTCTGGAACCCACAACAGACTTTTTTCTTTTGGAATTAAAAGCAAATTGATGGATAATTTAAATATAGATTGTTGATGTTTTTATACATTATTTGTAAATTTACGGTTAGAACTATATTAGTAATATCAACAAAAGTGCGGGATTTTTCAGGGTTAAAAAACTCCATATTTTCACTATCAAATAAATGATATATTTTATAAATTATAAATCGAGAAATAAGTAATAAGTATATAAGCAAAAAAATTAATCATTATTTTTGCATTATTGTTCTAGAGGCAGCCAGTTTTTTATATGTTACAAATTTTTTGCTACAAATTAACTTTTTTTTAATATAATAATAATACGATTACGACGGTAATAAGATTATAGAAGGTCAGATTAAGTACAGTAGATTTTATCAAAAAATAGTCAAGTTAACAGCTTTTATGGTTTGAAAATGATTTCTATATGCGGAGCGTACATTTATTCCAAATGTTAATTGTGGTTTAAAGTATTAAATTAGATACTTTTAATCTTAGAAAGCTTTTGTCTGATGATTTTGATTAAACAGAGTAACCAACTTAACAAGTAGAGTGAATGGTAAATAAAAAAGGTCAATTTGTGATCACACTCATGGATCCATTTACCGCTTCACACTCATGAATCAAGCTCACAACAAAGAAAATAGATGAAACTTAAAAGACAGTTACAAAAAATGAGAGGTTGAAAAACAGCAGGATGCTATAAAAAATGTTAACCTAACTTTTTACGCATCATAAGGCTATTTTGTATGTCTTATCTTTTTCACTGCAAACTCTTTGTAATATAAAACTTACAGATAAAAAATAGATTGAATTTTAAAAAATATACTGACTCATAACTGTAATTTTATTCCTTCAGATTTACCAAATTTGATCTAATAAAAGTATTGACATATCTATAACAGATTAACTATTACAAAAACGAAGTAAAATATGGTTTTATTTGTTTAATAAAGCATTTAGTTTCAAAAATTTTTTAGTACCTTTTGGACTCTGAAAGCATTCATAATTAGTTTATCACAATAGTCAATGAACATTTGAAAAGTAGGAGGTGATTTTTAAAGCAATCAATCTGAGTTTGAGAATTCAGCAACTATGAAGAGAGGTGTATATGATTGCTCTTCCTTAAGTATACTGTTTTTATTGTTAGAGATTTGAACTGGATAAAAAAAAAATATTAAACTAAATGTAATATAAAACTTCATTCCATATAGTCCAGATGCAATCCGCTATCTTTTCTTTACTTTTGAATATAGGACTACTGATTTTAATCTGGAAAAATTTGAACAATTAAAAAATAATTTTTTTATTAGAGAAAATTGAACAAAAACTGGCTGCAAGTACATATGTAGTCAAGTCTCGTTAAGTAAATATACCTTTATGAGTAACAGCAAAATATTAAAACCCGATGTATCAAGAATACTTAAAAAATTGCATTTAAATCGTGTTTGTATATCTTGCAAATTTTAAAGAGCTTAGTTTGAAAACTAAATATAAATAAAATCTAAACAATAATGTTCTGAAACTCGAAATTCGCAGTCTTTTCTTGTGAACTCATGGAGTGTATCTTTGATACTGTTTGCAAACATCTAGCGATTCAAGCAAGGAAGATTAATTTTTTTGTCTAGCGCGAAAGATATATATATATATATATATATATATATATATATATATATATATATATATATATATATATATATATATATATATATATATATATATATATTGATTTTTCTGTTGAATATATTGAATATTATGTTGCTCAGAAATTTTTTATTCATCCATAGTGACATTGAGAATTTTAAATTCAGATTTTAGCAAGTCATTTTGTTACATTACTCATTGATAAACAATTCACAAGGTTTTCAATTGACAATATATTCAAACAGAAGTCAAAAACATACTTGTTTGATTCAAATATATATGTTTGTTTATTGGCAAAAAATACATTTTATTTAAAAACATCAAAATGTTATAAAGAATTTAAAAAGATCTATTATTATTAAATAAAGACTGTTTTGTTTTATTTTATTGCATCTTGCGCGGCAGAGGCGCAGTGGTTAGGGTTCTGGCATAGAACTAAGATGTCCAAGGTTTGACGGCTGTAGCATAATAAGAGACTTCGGTATGGAATAAGAGACTTCGGTATGGAATAAGACGTGCACTTACTAGTTAAATGCTCTTCCGCTGCAGTCTAGTCTGCAGATTAGATTATAAAGACTTAATAACCACACAAAAATAAAAAAAATTATTTTTAAGAAGTATAAGGTAGAAAAAATAAACTCTAGACTATTGTTGCAATTTACATTAGTTTACAGTTATTACAATATGCTTGCTGTAAAAACTTCAAGGTTTTTTTTTCTGATGGTTGACGGTCGATCTATTTTCTTACTATCTTTTTTTTTTTCTTTAGAGCATGAAGAATGCAATTGTTCTTCATCTGCGAACAATTAAATTGGTATTTGAATTGTTTTTCATTTTTTGAAGTTAGGGTATAGCGGGGCATATCGGGACATCGTGGCATAACGGGACAGTTATGCCTGAAGTCTTATATCTCAGTTAAAAATAATTTTTTTACATAAATTTTATTTGATAATCCATTTTAAATTATTGTGCTTCATTATTGTAAAAAAAAATTTAATTTTTGAAATACCAATATGCATTAAAAGTACCAAAATGCATCAGCAAGTTTGCGAAAAAAAAAATTTGCGTATTTTCTTAAACAATACTGCAACAAAAGATTTATTTTGAACTCTTGCGAATTTGCTTTATAAAAAGTTTATAATTTTCAGACAGTACTTTTATCCTCTTTTAGAATCTGTTTTTAAAAAACTATTTGGAATTGAATATTTAGAATAGTATCAATTTCAGTAAAATGACTTTTGTGGGGCATATCGGGAAATATCGGGAAAAAAATCGGGAAATATCGGGAAATATCGAGACAACAAAAGTATTTATATAATAGAGTATATTACTATCATTTCGCGATGCTGTTTACAGTTTGATAACTTTATTTTTAATCTAAAATATTTTTTAATTTAGAAAATCAATTTTAGCAATAAATTCAAAGAAATTCTTTTTATATTTATTTTTATAACTTAACTTCGATTATTAATTGTGTTTAATGTAAACAAAAAAGGTAAGAAATTAGATAAAAGAGATCATCAACCAAAACGGGATGAAATTCAGTTTTAGTTGTGAGTAAATAAAAACTTAGAATTAGAAAAGCTACTGATACATATGGCATATTTAAATTTGCTCTACATTGGCATATTGCTAATAAGCCAGCTCATCAAAATGTTTCCGAACAGTTTCAGGAAACTTTATGTGTGATTTATGTGATCCATAAATTTTTTTTTAATTTCAAATTTAGCAGCAGTTACCAATTTAATAATATATAGGTTAGAGTAGAACAGAGGTATTTTATAATAAAACAGACAAAAAAATATTTTATTTAAGCTGTTATTTCTTATTTCTTTGGTGTATGGGCTTGTAGTATCTATGGGTATGTTAATTTTTTGAGAGTTTAATGTCTGAACATCTTTAATCGAAGATAGTCTTTATTATTCATCATTTTTAACGCTTTACAATCAACAAATAACTGCTGCTTTTTTACTGTCCTGTTTTGCCCCACCCACTTGCAAAATGTAAAAGTTTTGCTAGTCTAGAGTTTCGTTACTTTGATTGTCATAATTTATTTTTAGAATTTTTTTTTTTTTTTATATCGATGAATTTTAGGAAATTTATAAAAAAGCAGTGTTAACTATGATTAGTTTATCCGCAACTAGAATTTGCTTCTTAAGTGTCCCTATATGCCCCCCGCTCTACCCTACTTTCCCACTCTATTTGGTGCCATTTTATTTCGCCAAATGATCGTGTACATTTAGAAAAACTAAACCTTTAACTAAAGTTGAGTATAAAAACCAATCAAAAATATTCATATATATATTTTCTTTTTATTACCTAGTAAACGAAATTATGGGTAACATACACTATAATGAAGTTACTTTATAAAATTATGACCAGTAAAACAACACAGCTTTCAAAGTTGTTAGCCTTAAGCACTAACAAGTAGGTAGTATGTTTTCCACACTTAATTGGTTTTGTGTTTTCGGAACATTCTTCTCCATCAAAATGTTGTTTTAAAAATCAACATCCGCTGGCAGTTCTTCCATAGGTTGTGTAAATTTAATTTTTTTCTTTTCTATCATAGACTAGAAGAAATTTAAACCAAGAGTAGTACATGCAGCAATCACTTCATTTGTAAAAGATTTTTTTTGTGTTGCCAATAATTGCTTCAATATCAGTTTAATTAAATAGCAAGCTTAATTTTCTTACATCCTGCAGCCTTATTCACTCCTCTCCGTTAAGCTTAGCGGAACTTTTGTCTGAAATTTCATTACAATATTTTTAAGTAAAGAAATAACGAGAACAAAATTCAGTTTGTTTAAATAAAACTAACACTAAAATAAAACATTTATGTTTAAAAATTATACTTAAA